CCCTAGCAAAAATGTCCAAATTTTTCCCTCTTGATACATGCAAACCCATCAGGATTTATTTCTTCGATTTCACCCCCTTATCACAGCTTTAAAAACTGACAGAAATACCCCTATCTTACCACAATACCAAAAAAAAAATCAAATTAATTAAAAAAAAGAATTAATTAACTTAAATACAATTCATGATCTAACTAAAATCAGGAATGGGGTTTTACAGGTTACACTCAAAAGGCTGGTATAGATTATATCGACACATTTTCTCCTGTTGTCAAGATGGTCACCATCCGAACCATTTTATCACTTGCTTCTATGTACAATTGGCCCCTTTACCAAATGGATATTGATAATGCTTTCCTACAAGGAGATTTACAAGAGGAGATTTATATGACTTTGCCTCAAGCTTTTGCAAAGTAGGGGCAGAATGTTGTTTGCAAGTTACACAAGTCACTTTATAGTCTTAAACAGGCTTCTAGAGCTTGGAATTACAAGCTCACTCAAGCCTTAATTGTTGGAGGATTTGCTCAATCTAAGGCTGACTATTCTTTATTCATTAAGAATATGGTTTCCCACATTATGCTGGTCCTAGTCTACGTGGATGACATTGTCATTACAGGAGACAACATTGACATGATCAACTACACCAAACAGCTTCTACATTCTAGTTTTAAACTCAAGGACTTGGGAGTACTAAAATATTTCTTGGGTTTAGAGGTAGCCAGATCCTCTAGAGGTATCAATTTGTGTCAAAGAAAATACGTTTTAGAGCTTATATCAGAATCAGGTTTGTCAGCTTCTAAGCCCTCTGCAATTCCTATGGAATCAACTTTAAAGCTTGCATTGGTTGCTTATATATGATGAACTTTTCCCTACTGGTCATGATCCATTTCTTCCTGATCCCAGTATTTATCAAAGATTGGTAGACAAGTTGTTATACTTATGCATGACTAGACCCCACTTAAGTTTCCCTGTCTATCTCTTAAGTCAGTTTATGCATAACCCTAAGCAATCCCATTTGAATGCAGCTCTTAAGGTAATGAAATACATTAAAATAGCTCTAGGTTCCAGCTGATAATCATATGAGTTTAGTAGCTTTTTGTGACTCTAATTGGGCATCCTGTCTCATGACAAGGAAATCCGTTACTGGATATTGCATCTTTCTCAGTAAGTCTTTAATATCATGTGTTAGAGTCATGAAAGTGACTCTATTTTGATGATAAAAACACCCTTTTGTGCTTAAAGATCAATTTATATTGAGACAATTAAGAGAAATTATGAATTTATGTATAAAAATCATATTTTGAGTTTTTCTTACTAATTTGGCATGTTTGGATTGAAATTTGAGATTGAGTAAGTTGATATTAAGATGTGATTTATTTTCTAGGGTTGATGTTGTCTCATTTGTGTTCTTAAAGGGTCAAATTGTCATCAACACTTGGGGCTGATTTTGTCATTTTTCAATATGTAAGGACCAAATGGATATTTGTTACAATGTGTATAAACTGCAGGTGAAAAGTCGCACGAAGGAGGGAGTCGTCAAATCCTAGCCCCTTCACCAAACTTTGGTCGCCGACCGGCGACCATTCATCTTCAAGGTTGGCAACCCTTCACCTTCTCATGCTGATCGGCCACCCTCAACCCACGCCGATGACGTTACGCATCCCACCATCACGTCTCTTCATTTTTTGACAACCTTGGAGCTTCTCTGGCGTCAATCCAGCTTCTCCAGGTGTCGGCCATCCTTCCCACAATCAGATCCACCTTCCTCCAAGCTCCACTGCTGCCATTCAATCGCCATCTCGCCAAATCGTCGCCGTGACTGTTCAGCTTTCTCACCGTTTTTCATGCATTTTTTGATGACCTCTCACCTTCCAACCAGCAAATCCATCATCCCCTTCACCTGATCTATCTTCCTGTACCCTTGGATCTCCTCTTCGCTGATCATCGCCATGAGCTATCGACGGATTCCGACGAGTTGCATCTGTTCATCTTCTAGGAGTTCCCTTGGTCATTTTCATCCATTCTTCGCATCATCTCGTTGTCGGTTACGTCCTCTTCTCTATGACCAGCTCCGTTCCAAATGTTCCAGCCTCCGTCGACCCTACCATGAGCGACTGAGCTCCTGGTTGCCTATTACGGTATAGGCGAGATTAGGATTGACACTCACAGATCTTCTCGGTAGTTCTCGACTAGTTGGATGAGCCTAAATGTTGGACATTTAATTAAATTTCTTGTATTCAGATTATATTTGTTTTCGTTTCAGTTTGTTTGCGATGCTTTAATATTATTCTGATGCTTGACGTGCTGAATTGATAATGTCCATTGAGAACATTGATATACAACTTTTTGCACAATTGAATGTTGGTTTGAGATTATTGGATGTTGATTATGACTTTAAATTGCTTCGGTACTAATTGCAATCAAGTTGTATTAGCGTTTAATATCATTTCTACTAGGAATGCATTTGTTGTGTAATTTGTTGATTGGATGATACAAGTTTTTAGGTTGTACTTGTTATTGTTGTACCAACTAGTGGTGTTTAAGGGTTTAGCATTTTTCGGTTAGTTGATCATAGTCTTCAACCAATCGATCTGTAACTAAGACGACGGGGAGATATGATAGATTATACCTAGATTGTCAGGAGATGTTTTCATTGATTTGTATAGTCTTATAGGTTTAGGAAATTGAAGAGCGAGGAAAGGAATTATGAGAGTTGGTCTTGAGTTGAATCGAATCTGAAGCAGCAACGCTTTTAATATTGTGTTTTAGTTAGCAATTTATTTGATACTTTTAATTTCCTGCAATTAATTAGTTTCCTTAGTTTTAATCAATCAATTCGCCAATTTCCCTTTCATTAACTCAAATATACATTAGGTCTGTAGTCTTACTCCTTGTGGATTCGACCCTGCTTACCACTAACTATGGTATTTATGATTAATTTTGTGGTCTTGACGACCAGTTCGACATCATGGAAATCTAAAAGGCAGGCCACTGTTTCTAAATCTTCTTCATAGGCAGAGTATAGGGCCATGGCTTCTATGGTCTGTGAGATAATTTGGTTGATTTAGCTTTTTCAGGAACTTGGTTTTACTGATTTAATTCCTGTGTCTCTTCACTGTGACAATCAGGCTGCCCATCACATTGCATCCAATCCTATTTTTCATGAAAGGACTAAACTCATTGACATTGATTATCATGTTGTGTGCCTCTTCACTGTGACAATCAGGCTACCCATCACATTGCATCCAATCCTATTTTTCATGAAAGGACTAAACACATTGACATTGATTGTCATGTTGTGTGCCTCTTCACTGTGACAATCAGGCTACCCATCACATTGCATCCAATCCTATTTTTCATGAAAGGACTAAACACATTGACATTGATTGTCATGTTNCAGAAGATGCAAACGAAATTTCGTATGAAAGAGGTCTGAAGCTTAAACACTTAAAACGTAAAGGTGAGTTATCACATTTTTATGCAGCCAAATAGTTATACTTTCTTCCTTGATAATTTGGGAAAAGCTGAAATCTTGGAGAAGGTGGTGGAGAAGAAAAGGAAAGGAGAATGAAGAAAATAATAAGGGTATTTTAGTCTTTTCTGTTATTGTAGACGGAATTCACTAAAAGGTCAAGAACGGAAAATGGTTGTTTATCATTTCTAAACCTTTTGACTGGGTATAAGTCGTTCTGCCATAATTCAACTCAAATATCTGATTAAATTTGAATTTATCATCAAATACCCACTTAATTTTGTTTATAACGGTGCAAATTCTAAGCTCATTGGTGGCAACTGGACGGTGACTTGAGCACCCCGAGAAAATTGAAACAGCGTTAGAAGTCCACCATCTACCTTGTTATGAGCAAATTTATTTATTTAACAGCATCATCCTCCTTGTCAATCGGAAATTCAATAAATATTCAGAAGGATTCAATTTATCTTTTATAAGTTCTACATATCTATCTGCTAATAAGTTCTCATTCTCTTAAGATAAAAAGAGTTCAAATTATGGAGCCCATTTTCTTAAATGTAAATTTTCCTTTATATATTTGATAATTAATCATAAAAGTCAACTTCCTATATGTTTTCATATCTTGCGTGAATCAAATAGAGAATGATACGAAAATAAAGTAAATAGATAAACACATAAACCAAACAGTAAAGAGGAAGAAAATAACACGCAATTTACTTTAATTCATCCAATTAATATATTACGTTCAACGAAATCAATATTATTATTTCAATATTATCTCACATTTCTTATTTACAATTAAGTAATTTGTCTTATAATTATTATCACTTATTATAATAAAAATATGTGTTTACATGAAGTAATAATACATTATCCTCAAATACGTCTCTGTTGTGACCCGTTAATGCTGAAAATAATAGGCAACTCCAACGTTAGGTTGAAGACCATAGTTTTTTCAATTGAATTGAAAAGTCTTCATTTAATTATAAACTTGGACCCACTTTCTAATCATCTGTAGACTTTGGGTTGTTTGATAGTTTCTTTTAAATGAAGTAATAATACGTTATCCTCAAATAAGTTGTGACCCATTAATGCTGAAAATAATAGGCAACTCCAACGGTAGGTTGAAGGCCAAAGTTTTTTCAAATGAATTGAAAAGTCTTTATTTAATTATAAACTTGGACCCACTTTCTAATCATCTCTAGACTTTGGGTTGTTTGATAGTTTCTTTTATTAAAAAATATAGAATGAGAACAATTACTATTGGTCTTAAAAGAACCTGGTCAAGTTGCCTGAGTAAAAGGAAGCTGCCTCTGAGATACCGAATGAAAAGAAACCGATGGCAGCTGAGGGCTGACCACTAATATTCTTAAAACAACCATTGACTGAGTAAAACGAAGCTGCCTCTGAAATGCAGAATGAAAAGAAACCGTTGACTGCCACACCAGTTGAAGACTTCTTATTCCTGACCTATTTTGTTATTTTAATGAAGATCTGTTGAATCCTGAAATCGTTTTCCTTCCTCAAAAGAATGGCCATCAGCTGCAGCACTAACCAGCCTCTTCTTCTCCATTTCATCATCATCACTATACTGTTCTCTCTTATGATCCCATTCGGAAGTTCATTAAACTTCAACTTTTCCAGCTTCAGTAATGACGGTAAAATGAAATATGAGAGACCTGCTTACCCTGACGAAAACGGTACCATCCAACTAGTCTCAACAATTGTAACGGCTGGTCGTGCCACTTATAATAAAACCCTGCCGCTTTGGGACAAAACGACGAGAAAACTCACAGATTTCACCACCCATTTCTCTTTTGTTATTGATTCTGAAAAGAATCCTTCATACGGAGATGGATTGGCGTTCTTCCTTGCGCCTGCAGGTTCGGAAATTCCTACCTCTAGAGGTGGAGGCTCTTTCGGTCTTACAAAAGATGACGAGCCTCTAGATTCCACATCCAATCCGTTTGTTGCAGTGGAATTCGACATCTACCACAATGATTGGGATCCGAGTCCGCCAAGTGATCATGTAGGCATTGATAACAGCTCTATGAGATCAAACACCACTGTTACGTGGTGGAGTAACATCAAGGATGGACTGAGAAACGAAGCATGGATCACTTATAATTCTAGTACACAAAATCTGAGTGTTGCCTTCACTGGCTTTAGAAATAACGTTACAGTGATGCAGTACCTCGATTATAAAATAGATTTGACGGTATTACCTGAGTTGGTCACTTTTGGCTTCTCAGCAGCAACAGGAAGCGAAAAAGCAAAATATAGCATTCACTCTTGGGAATTTAATTCAAGCTTAGAAGCTGCAAATCCACTACGACCAAGTGATAACTCGACTAGAGTAGGACTCGCAGTGGGATTGAGTATTGGTGGAGCTTTTTTGGTTGGAGGGTTGCTTTTGGTTTGGCTTGCTGTCATACGTAGGAAGAGACACGGCGACGATGATGAAGATAAACATGGGTTCAGCGAGTATATGGATGATGAAATTGAAAAGGGAACCGGACCCCAGAGGTTTTCATACAAGGAATTGGCCGGCGCAACAAATAATTTCAACGATGAACACAAGTTAGGTGAAGGAGGCTTTGGCGGTGTTTATAAAGGAGTTTTGAGGGTATCAAATTCTTATATTGCAGTTAAGAGGGTTTCAAAAGGGTCTAAACAAGGGGTAAAGGAGTATGCGTCAGAAGTGAAAATTATTAGTAGATTGAGGCATAGGAATTTGGTGCAACTTCTGGGTTGGTGCCATGAAAAGAAGGAACTCCTTCTTGTTTATGAATTCATGCCTAATGGCAGCTTAGACTCCCATCTTTTCAAAGAAAACAGCTTATTGACATGGGAGATGCGGTACAAAATCGCTCAGGACTTGGCCTCAGGATTGCTATATTTGCATGAAGAATGGGAACAATGTGTTGTCCACCGAGATATTAAATCAAGCAACGTTATGTTGGACTCAAATTTCAATGCTAAGATTGGAGATTTCGGATTAGCTAGGCTTGTGGAACACTCAAAAGGGTCACAAACCACAGTTTTGGCAGGAACAATGGGCTACATGGCTCCTGAATGTGTTATAACAGGCAAGGCTAGCAAAGAATCAGATGTATTCAGTTTCGGAGTTGTTGCTTTGGAATTAGCTTGTGGGAGGAAACCAATAAACCCTATGGAAAAAGAAGGTCAAGTCTATATGGTGCAGTGGGTTTGGGAACTGTATGGAAATGGAAAACTTCTTGAAGCTGCAGATCCAAGACTAAGTGAATATTTTGATGAGCAACAGATGCAAGTGTTGATGATAGTTGGGCTGTGGTGTGCTCACCCAGATGAAAATCTCAGGCCTTCAATAAGGCAAGCCATTCCTGTGCTTAAATCTGAAGCTCCATTGCCGGTTCTTCCACCAAAGATGCCTGTGCCAACGTATTTAGCACCTTCAGGAAATATGCCCATATCTGTACTTTCGATTTCGTATGAGGCGAATTATTCAGAAGGTGGTCAAAACCTTAACCAATCTTCAATCTCTAATTACAGCACAAATTCCTCACAGTTGACATCATCTTCTGGTGCTTCTTCAGCCGCAGCGCTTTTGAAAAATACGTATTAAATATTTCTGTACATCTGTTTCTTTGATTAATTTAAGATTTTTTTTTTTCATGGGAACTGTTAATGTACCATGGCTTTACCGGCAAAGTTGGGCTTGGGCAGTCCCTATTCCGGGCCCTTAAGGACTAGTGAGGGACTGGGTCCAAATTGGTTGGAATCAGTCCTAGGCCTGTAACTTTTTTGAGGATTCAGATTGGTCTTAGGCCCGGGCCTGGCCTCTATGGACCGGTCCTAGTGGGTCTAGTAAATATCTATTTAGCTCCTTAATTTTTTTTATATTTTAATAATAATTATGTAAGGGGGTTTTTTGGTAATTTGTCAGGGATGATTTGTAAATTTTTAATTAATTAGCAAATAATATAGATGCATGTTTATAAATTTATTGTGGTTTTAATTTAAAGAGATAATTTAATTTTAGTTTCACAATGTTATAAATTAATTAGTAAATAATTTAAAGAGATAATTAATTAGTAAATAAATGTAAATGAATAGTTAAAATTTATAAATTTAATAGGGGTGATTTGTAAATTTTTAATTAATTAGTAATGGTTATGGCTGCGTTTGGCCCCCTATCCTATCCAAAATACTTATTTGTTTCTCTATTCTCAAACTCCAATTTTATTCTATTTAACTATTTTTAAACCCCATAAGTTTGTTAATTTAACTAAACACCCAAACAAAAAAGTTTATAAATTGACAAAAACACCCCCACCCACCCACATTTGCCAAATTTTGGCCACCACCGCTGAAAGATAGCCGGAATCTGCCATAATGGTGCACTACTGACTAGATCTGGTTAGTTAGCCTTTTCCGACCAGATCCACCGTAGATCTGGTTGGAAAAGGCTAGATTTGGTCGTAGATCTGGCCTTTTCCAGCCAGATCTTTGACCACATCTAGTCGTCAATGACATCTAAGATATGGCCATTGTTGATGAGTAGATGTGGCCAGATCCGTTATGGATCTGGCTGGAAAATGTCATATCGGGACACGATCGGCCAGATCCAACTGGTTGTGCTCCATTACAGAAAATTCCAGCCACCTTTTGTAGTGGTGGCTGAAATCTTGCAAATCTGGGTGGGTGGAGTTTTTGTTCAATTTATAAACTTTTTATTGTAGGGGGTGTTTAGCTAAGTTCACAAACCTAGGGGGTGTTTTATTAATTTTTAAATCTTACCTCGTAATAACAATCCAACTCAACTTTTTCACAATATTACTCAAAATAATAAAACAAATATAGCCTATAATTTTTTCTATTTTTTGAAAAATTACATTTTAACCCCTAAATTTATTATGTATTTCATATATTACAGGGGTGGTTATTTGTCAAGAAGTTTTGGTTATTTGGTAAAGGGTATTATGAAATTAATTGGGCCCAAGCCTGGGACCGGAGGGCCTGGTCACCCCACCCTAGGGCCTGGGTCGGTCCTGCGACTAGTCTTACAAGGACGAATCCTTGGGCACAGGCTAGCGTGTGGGTCTTGTGAGAAACAAGGTTTTGAAACCCGACCCAGGTGTCACCCGGCCAAGCAGTAGGTGCTTGGCTTGATCGGTCCGACCGATTAAACCGGCATTTTGATAGGTGATCTAGAAAGTTTGAAATCTTGCAAACACACCTTTGATAAATACGAATTAGTTCTTACAGGTTTGAAATCTAGCAAACACACTTGTGTTTGGTTAAGGGAATATTGTATTACTAGGAATGTTATATTAATAGAAAGATGAATTAGCTTGAAGATTACTGAGAATGTTTAGGGAAATGTGTTTGGTTGGTTGGAACTAAAGGTGGAAAAGTGGGCCGCCTGACCTGCGACGACCTGGCCAATTACAGGCTGGGTTAGGCCCGCCTCTTTTTCAAAAGGGCCAGCCCAGCCTAGCCCAGTAACCCTTACCCGGTGGGTTTTCGTGCGGGCTAGCCCATAAAAAAAAAATTAATTTTTATTTTTTAATGCTTCTGTCTTTTGTGTTATTTTTTTTTAGTTAACTTTTTAAATATCAATTCAATTAAATTAATCTTTTTTAGTTAACATTTCAAATATTAATTCAATTTTAATACAATTAAATTTTAATATAAGAAAATTTTGATTTATTCATTTATCAAAAAATAAAATAAGAAATAAGAAATTACAACAATTATTGTTTAGTTAAAAACCGTACCAAGAAAAACCTAATTAGTACAAAAACTTGGTAAAGAAAACATAGGACAGTTAATTTACAAATTACAAAGTTACAATTTATAAAACAACTAATTTGAGGGTTAACTAGGACCTCCCTCGTATGTATCATCTAAATTATAAAATTGAAATAATTCTATTAAAGTATTATCGACAATCTCGTATTGATCATGATGGTACGACCGTTTCTAATCTCGAAAACATGTGAGGACTTCAATCAGTTTTGGCAAAAGTTTAGTCCTCCTTTCGTTTAAAATTCTTCCACTTGCACTAAATGTTTGTTTGGATGAGACGGTAGAGACAGGAACAGAGAAAACATCCAGGGCAAGTTTTGATAGTATCGAAAAAATGAATTACTCTTTCGATGAACGTACAACTCATAAAAAGACAAATCCGTATGAAATTTGTGACATAAATTGTAGAAAATGGGATTATATATTGGTATTGTGGAAAAAAAATGATTTTGATAGATTTTATTTTATTTTAAAATGAAAGAAAAGAACATAAAAAATGTTGGAAAAAATATGGGTGAGGGCTATGATTTAAATGTATTCAATTGACCTGAAACAGAAAAGAAAATTTTTCAAAATTCTAGTACGAAAGTTTGATTAGGAGAAATATAATCTTTCTGTATAATATTTTTTTATTTGTAAGACTGCAGAGGTGGGCAGGGACCTGTCCCATGCAGGCCTAGGCTTGGGCCCGTTTGGGATTGGTCTCACATGGGCCTGGGACCGGTCCCATACCAATGGAAAAAATTAGGACCCGGACCAGGCCTTAGGCCTGGTAGGGACTGGTCCCATGGGGCTTGGATAATTTTTTTCTCCCCTCAATTTTTTTTTTTTTTATATTTTAGGGGCAAAACGAAATTTTATAGGGGGTTTTTAGTTTTTTTAGGGGTAAAATTTATAAATTTTATAATTTTTTAGACTTGGAAGATTTTTTTTTTTTTTTTAAATTTTATAAAATTTCATTATAGCCCTCGTAATTTATATTTATTTAAAATTAATAGGGGGTTTTAGTAATTGACAGGGGACTATATTGAAAAAATACAATTTTTTTGGGCCCAGGCCTGGAGGAGGGCCCTTAAGGACCGATCCTGGACCAGGTTTTGCCCAGCTCTATGTAAGAGTATTATTATCAAATTAAATTAAAAAAAAAAAAAAGAGGAATAATGAGGATTAAAAAGACATTTCGTGGATTACTCTTTATTTAACCATCCTTGGATGGCCACGTGAGTGATAAGGAATCTTGGGTGTATTACTCAAGAGGTCTTGGTTTGAAGTACCTCAGGTGTAATAAAGATGACACCTGAGGGTATACTCAGTCGTTAACTTTAGGGTCTCGGGCCAGAGAGATTAGTTGAGTTGCGGGTAAGCTGGTCCAGACCCAAGTCACCAAAAAAAAAAAAAAAAAATACATAAATTACACTTAATTAGTTATCGTTAACTCAGAGTTCTGAGAGATTTGTAGGTAGCGTAAGCTAGTTTGAACATTTTCAATCATAAAAAAAAAAAAAAAAAAAAAAAAAAAACATAATATATAAACTTAATTAATTGTCGTTAACTTCAAGGCATCGAACCTCGGAGATTAATGGAAATTAGTCAAAGTATACGCAAATTGATCCGATCAACCTCGGTGGCAACAAAAAATAAAATAATAAAACATATAAATACTTAGTTGATCGGGTCTTCGTCTCTTCGACATTATATTATTTTATAAAGATGGAGAACAAAAATAAATGAGAAAATTCGTATAAATATTCAAACTTGTCTTCATCTTTAGTTTGATATTTGACGTTGAAAGAAAATTTAAACTTATGCATTTGCATGCGTGATCTTTTCAACTTCAAATTCGTCTTCTCCGAGTGATGAGGAGTTACGATCAAAATAAAAGTAGGAGGAAAAAAAAAAAAAAAAAAAAAAAAAAAAAAAAAAAGAACCTTCACATTCATTCAGCAGGAATTCTGCTTCTGCCTGAGCCAATGGGTAGAGGCCAGAAAGACGAATTTTTTTGAAAGAGTCCCTGGTTGAGATCCCGGCAGCGGATCCTCCAAGTAAAATACGCAACATCTTCTGTGGGAAGATAGAAATCAAAATCAACTCCGCGCAAATCCATATACATCAAGTAACCGCAATTCCCTTTACACGTAGGAAATTCTTTCGCTGAAAGCATGAACGAACCATCTTCACCTAAAAACAACACTTGATCTTTCAATCCATCTTCTTCAATCCATTCGCAGTTCTTTTTGTCAAGTTGAAAACATCCAAACGATTCCGACCCAAGAGAGGACCATGTTGGTAGTATTTGTAAACCAATACGCGTTGATCAGAAACAGATCATCCCTTGATTTTACCAGAGAGTGCCTTATAAGATGTGATTGGGATTTTCCAGGAGCGCGGCAGCTTCAGTGACGTTTAGAGACTTGGGATCCACTGCCACAGTAACGCCGTCGAATCCCATAGCGTAGAGTTTCTTGTTGTGATAAATGATATCTTTACAGTAAAAACTTTCATAGCCAAAATCTTGATCGCCCATCTCTCGTCTTTGCTTCGCACACGCCCACTCGGCCTTCACTAATTAACGCCATTAGTCGAATACCCAGCTTTATCACATCGGAGAGACGACAAACTTTTCAAAGTAAAAAGGATTAGAATTTGATACCATGTCGAGTCGAAAGGATTTAGCAATTTCCTTGACGCGTAATCCAGCAAGTTGAAAGACTCGGGCAAACATCTCGAGGGTTTTTGATGATGATACGAAGTTTAAACAGGGGATCCATGACCTGGATTTTGCCAGAGTTTGACTCTTCTACTTTGAACAACCAG